AGCATCAGGGGAGAGACCAGCCGGCCCCCAGACCATATCGGCTAATCCCTTGCATCTCTGCCACGCACGGAATCGGTTGAAAACATAATGTTAAAAAGTCTAGTCTATTCGGTGCATTGTTTTCACGGCTATTGTTATGCTGATTCACCTGGAAACGTGGTCCAGCGGATAAATCGTTGTCGTTCAAGATACTGAGTCAAGCTCGACTGAGGAGGGTTAGCACTTGGATGGGTGACCTAAACCAGTTATAGTACTCACGCTTTTGCTCCTTTTTTCCGTTTTTCTTTTTCGATTTTTAAAATAGTAGAATTTAGAATAGTGAAACTTTTCTATTTTTGCGCAACCTATTCCTGTCTACCTGTGATCAGTCAAATTGAAATCTTGCAGAGGAAAATCCCTGGAAAGAAAACTATTAAAATGACCGGCTGCCGGTCAAGAATTTCAAAACACTTATGAAATGACCGGCAGTTTCATTTATTTGAAGAAATCCAGCTCAATCCATACGATAACACAAACCAAACTTAAAACTCGAAGTCTCAAGTAAAAATCTGGCAATATTGGGTCTGGCAAATCTTATAAGGTATGCATCAAATATGAATAACTTATGTCTGACAGAAACGTGGGCACTGGGTACGAGATTGGTTACCAGTCCAGCGCATGCAAGACTAGGAGCGAGGCTTTCTTTCACTATTGAAATTCAAAATGGCGCCGAGTGTCGGTTATGGCCGAGTTCGGTGTTTCTAAATCTTGTTATAGTGGAATAGTGCTTGGCCAGAATGAAATGGAATGAGTGGGAGACCACAGGGCCGTGTTAGGCAATCACGCAGAGAGCGTTCTCAGCGTAGCAGAGGTCGAGATAACTCCGCAGATTCAGTTAGTAGTACAAGAAGTGAAAGAGATAGAGAGACAACTCGCAACACCAATGGGCGGAATACGCGCCGTAGACTTGAAAGACGAGACGAAAGAACTCGTAAACCAGAAGATAAACCTTCAGAAAGAGATGCTACACGTAGTGGAAACCCAGACAAGCGGGAAGATAAGAGTAGAAGAGGCGAAAAGCCCTCAACACGGGATGGACCACGAGACTTGAACAGAGACCATGGAAAAACCTTGAACAGTACGTAAAACTCTAGCTCCCGCGAAAACTTGTTCTTTCTGAAAAAAAAAACCCTTAGAAATTGCTACGAAGTTCCCAGGAAATTGCCTTTGATAGGCAAATGATTATTTTAATGCTCTGTTCTTTATTAATTTTTGTTTTTACAAACTTTTGAAAGGCGCTGGTTTGCATTGATGCGAATACAACGTGAGCAACCATGATTACTAGTAATAGCTCCTTGTAACTTTATCTTTTTGTCTTTTTTTCTCTTTGCCGAGCGTTACTGCGATTCTTACGCATTTTTTCTAGAGTTTCAATCCATTTTTTTAAGTTTTTGGAATATTTGGAGAAATAAACTGCCTTGAAAAGTCTTATTTCAAGTTGATACCATCTGCATCAAGCACTTCCTGTTTGCTTACAAGAAAGGATTCTGTTCTCGGGTAACATCAAGATTGCACCATGCATAGCAATTATGAGGACTTTTAATGTCAATCTATAATAATACATGTTTTATTAACATTATATTTTATTTTTGACATCAATTTAAGATAAATAATTGATCAAAACGTTTTGGAAGAATTTCAATAAGATATTTTTATCTATTGTGCAGTAATTTTGAAAAGAAAAAAAAATATTTTGAATTTCAAATTTCTTTCTTGAAGAGTGATTTAGTTTTTTTAATTCTTAGGTTTAGATCGTCACAGCAATGCAGCAAATGATTCTCGTTTATCCAGTATCACCAAGAGGATTATCAGAGAGACTGATCGAGAACGCCGTATTACTGCTGCGAGACAGCTGGAAGAGTATTTCTCAAGTCCTGAGAATATCCAGGTATTATTCATTGTTAGATTATACAAAGATATGGAATTCTTATTTATCAACATACAACTTACTCATCACACACCATAACTACCCACCCTACTCATCACACCCACCCTATACCCAAACAACTTATTCACTCAACAGAAACCCTGCTCACTAACAACCATGAACTTATAACCCAGTCATCAAACACCATACCTACCCATCCTATTGATGGTTTTCAGGGTGGACGTGTTGGAGGAACTTGACAAAAGAATTGACAGTGAATTCTTTTGTTATATCCTCCAACATGGCCACCGTGTCTTTTGTTATTTAATTCTCTTGGGAATGCTTGCAAACCATCAACACCAGGTTCCAAGTAACCCAGGTTCCCCCACCCTTGACCACACTTTTTTCTGATCCATGTAATATTAAACCCATTAACTTATAATAAACAAGCTTCCTAAAGCATCTCTCTCTTGTTACAGGTGATCCTTAAGAATCAAGAAAATGTCCTTGTCTCCCTGGAGGATGTAATGTATGAAAGGTAGGTTCACTTTGAATATCAAACATGCTACTCTCTTATCTTATTTTACTTTCACTAAAAAAATCAAGAGTTGTTTAGTGCATTATTGCATTTAGCTCATATTTATTCCACAACATTGAGTGTCAGTCAATCTGAATACAGGAAAGTCATTGTAAATTCAGCATTATTCCACTGTTTCTTTCCATCAGGTATTGCTGCCAAGATAAAATTACAATTAAAGTCATTTAGATTGAAATTTAAAGTTTATTAAATCTTATCTGTTCCCTTTGTAGCTAACACTTTCTATACTAATATTTAATTCTTTTTTTTTCAAATTTTTTAGGAACTTATTAGCAGATGTAAAAGATCATTTGGTTCAGTGTCTTGTAATGTTTGGAGCCATGCTTGGATATGATATGAAAAGGTATGATTACCTATCTATACCTGGGGGACTAGATTTTCTCATCAGATAAACTTGTAGCATAAAGTTGTGGCACTGAACCTGAAACAACCTCTGGGCTGATCTAAGTCAGGGCATGGCTAACTCACAGATCAAACCCTGAAACAACCTCTGGGCTGATCTAAGTCAGGGCATGGCTAACGCACAGATTGAACCCTGAAACAAATTCATGTATTGTTTTTATAATAAATATTTTTTAATAAAATGTTCAGATTGTTTCAATGGATTTTTAACAAGTTGGATTCCTCTTCATCTGATGATATCAAAACTTTACTGCTAACAGCTCTATCCAAGGTATCATTTCTCTTGTTTCTGATTCTTTTTTCTACATTTTGATTATTGAAGCAACAGCTGCATGTGAAAAGCTGAGGAACTGATTAAGATCTACATTCTCTTTACATCATTTATTGATATGTCAGTTTATAGATAGGAGAATATAGCTTTTCATAACTACGTAACTTTTTGTTTTTAGATAATTCAAAATGAAAGCAGTCAGCAATGTTTTAGAGAAGTCGTTGTGGTAAGATAATAGTTTAAGGGTTAGAGTATTGATTATTGTTTTTTTATTAAATCAATACAATGTAGTTGCAGAAGGCAAAAAATAATGTTTGGTCTTTAGACAATGTCCGTCCAGATTTGAAACTTGTCCAATCAAATTTTGCCTTGCTGGTCATTTTAACCAGTAATGTTGAGCCAGAAATGAGCTAAAATTCATTTGTTAATTTTAGCTATATCAGTCATATATGTAGACCTTTTACATGTGAAATATTTTGCTAAATATATGTTGGCTTTTCCCCTAGAATGTGATGAGCTTGTTGGAAAACATCCTTGAAAATGTTGACGCACCAGGTACTAAAAAACAACAATATAAATTTAGTGGCTCTGAGGAATACATGAACTGTATTCCAATACATATATCGATTTACAGTTTAGCAAGATTTTGGGATGGTATTATCACTGCAAATCAAAATCGGTGTTTCAGAATGAGGTTATGCATGGTTAACGAAAGTTTTTATCTCATGAGAATAAGCATGGCTCCATTTGATAAAGATCTCTGATTGAGCCTGCATAAGAGACTGCTGACCAGTATGCCTTGATTGACACATGAGGCACACAAGAAGTGATCATTGTCCTAAGATATATTAATTATAATATTAAAATCTTTTTATCTCGTCAGAATTGTTGGATGCAGTACTTAGCGTCATCATGTCCATTGCTACTGATTACCCACAAGCCTTTGCAGGCTACTTTAGAGTGAGTATAGTATATAAACCTCTTCTGAGATTGCAAATGTGATACATTATGGTCTAGCTTGGGTACAAACATTTTATGTTTGCAAAGACTTATGTGGTKCTGTTTGTACCCAAGCTAGATCAGAACCCAACATGTTAACTTGATCTATTTGTACATCCAGCAATCGAGTAAAGGGCTCTTCTGTTAGGTTTCCTACACACGCACTTCCACTAAATTCACTTATGTACAACACACAACACTCAACACACATGTTGAGAAAAACCCTTGTGGCAAGGAAGAGAACAACACATCACATATGCAATTTAATTGAAAATCGAACCCACGAAACCCACGGCCTGTACTACAAAGTGGTAAGAGACCACACCAACCATGCCACCCTATATACAATAAAGGCGTTGCCTTTACACATTGTTATGGGTCCAATAGATTTCTCAATTCTTTATCATTACAGTGTTCTGTATTATCAGCATATTTATAACATTTTTACATTTCTTGGTTGGATGAATGTGGAAAAGAGTTCTTTATTTGGCCGTTTGGTATTTTGTTGCAGGATACAGTAGACATTCTTGTTGGTTGGCACATCGACATATCACAGCAACCATCCTTGACAGCTCACATGTCAGGTTAGCACTGGCCTTTTTAACTTGGCTATTGTCATTACCATCACTATAGTCATCAATAACATCATCACCAACTTTACAATCAACATCACCACCATCATCACCATCATCCTTAACATCATCACCAAGGTCATCCTCATCATCATCATCCTTAACATCATCACCAAGGTTATCATCATCATCACTATTGTCTTGCTAAACATAATCACCACCATCATCATCACTACCACCATCATCATCATCCTTCATCACATCATCACTATCTTTGTCAACATTGTCGTCATCATTATCATTATCATTGTCATCGCTATCATTACTATTATCATTGTTGTCATCACCATATAATAATCATCTCCATAGACCACTATCATCTTCATCATCACCGCCGCCTTCATGATTACAATGTTCGTTATCATCATTTTYGCTACCATCATTATCATCACTATCATTATCATTGTCATGATCATCATTACCATACACCAACATCATCATCACCACTATCTTCATCAATGTACCACTTCAATTACCATCATAATAATCATAAATATTACCAATATCTACCAGAGTATCTTTATTGTGTTTTGAATACTACCCTTGCATTCATGTCCTGATCATTGTTATATCGTTTATAGAATGTCTGATTCAACTCCATCCCTACTGGGCTTCAGACATTGCATTCTCCCTGACTCTTCTTGGTCAGTTTCTGGAAGATATGGAAGCTTATGCCGAGGTAAATAAACCCATTAGAGTAAAGAAGAAATAGTACTAAAGAGAATGACATGTATTGAGATTTTACAAAAAAAAAGACTAATATTTGAGCAGCTCTGGGCTGATCAAAGTCATAGTGTGACGAACTCATGGATTGAATTGGAATTATGAAATAAAAACCATCACATTAAGAGATGGATCCAACAATGTTAATGCTTTACAATTGTTTCGCCTACGCATTGGTTTGCCTACTGAAGTTTGCCTATTTTAGTTTGCCATTTTTTTTCTACCCAGCATTCAAGATTAATTTATTATTTTTATGATGTCTGTGCTAATGTAATATGTTTGGTTGCAGGAGCTGAGCATGTTGGCAAATAAACAAGGTGCAAGTGATGGCCTACCGTCGCCGTATACTTCATTACCAAAACTGAYGGCACTAGTAAGGTAATGAGTAAAAATCTTCTTTTTAGTGTCTATTAGTTCTACCACTTACATACGAATTGGGACACTTTTTCACTCACACACACTACCGCTACATTTAATGTTCTATGCACACAACGCTCAACTCACATGTTGATTTTTACGGAGGGAGGAAGCTAGAGAACCAGGAGAAAAACCCTCGTGGCAAGGGAGAGAACAACACATCAAACAAACTCATCTTGGATACTACAATCTGTGCCAAAACTGTTGAGACTCCCCTTAGTACAGTATTTACTACTCATTTATTGACATTTGCATATCTTTCAATAAATGAATCCACACTTACTCTTATCTTACCCCACTCCCCCTACTTCATTGTTGTTTCTGTACAAGGCACACCCCGGACTCAAATCAGAAGCTGACCATCTGAACATAGTGAAGGGGGAGGGGGAAAAGTGATATAGTGTGTGTTGTGTTAGGATGGGAAGGGTAAGTTAAGTCTCGATATTTTTGGCACAGATTGTAGCTTGTTTGAGAGGAGTTATATAAAGAGAATTGCCACAAATCTACCATTGGTGAGAGGTGGACGCAATATAGACCACCCATGTCACTGTATGACTAAACTACCAATGTAACTCTTTTCTTACCAGGGTCTTAACTACTGTTGTTAATGGAATTGGAGATGTCTTTTCACCAGCTCAGACACCTGCAATTACAATACCTTACATAGAAGATGTAAGTTTAATTATTATCTAAATTATTATAATTAGTTAAGGGCTGATCTAAGTCGGGGCATGGCTAACTCACAGATAGAACCCTGAAACAACCTCTGGGCTGATCTAAGTCAGGGCA